TTAAACCTTCACATCCCTAGCTCTGCCCTGGGTGTTGGGGGAGCGATCCGCTGCTGCACAGCGAAGGACTCCCGATCCTGCCAGGGGAGGCCTTTCTGGGCATCGCTCACGTGTGTCCGCCCCCTCTGGAAGCCGCAGAATGGAACTGTCAGAATGCGGGGCTCCGGCAGAGCCGGCCGGGGAAGGCGGTCGGGAGAGAAAAGCCATTAAGAGCCGCCCCCTTCGGAAGCCCTCTTGTTTCGCGGTGTGTGGTTTGTAGTGCGGCGTTTGGCTCCTGCGGCAGGCAATGCGGCTCTCAGTGGGCCGTGGTCTCTCTCTGAGGCCAGGTCTGCACTAGACCCGGTGGCTCGGCTTACGGAGTGACCTAGAAACTGGAGTTCACTTACCTTAAGCCGAGCTTGGTGGCGTCCCCTCAGCAGGAGGCCGACGGGAGCAAATGTTCCCATCGGCTTCCCTTACTCCTGGCAAGAGTAGGATTCTGGACACCGATGGGGGGGGGGAGGGGCGCCCTCTGAGTTTGATTTAGCGGGTCTCAACTAGACTCGCTAAATCAAACTCTGGAAGATCGATAGATCGCGGGCAGCAGCGATCTTCCGTTTGAGCGCAGGCAAGGCCTGTGAGAAATAATTGCGAAGCCGAGCACCCTCACGCCTTCCCCAGCAGTGCTGACTGGGATCTCTACCTGCTCCTTCGGGCCCAGTGGCACGCGGGACCTTGTCACTGGTGGAGCATTGCGCTGTTCTCATGGACGTTTGCCACCGACTGATCGTTGAGTGCGCTGCCCTTTTCACAAGTGCCTACGACGCCCTTTTCATCCTCAAAGTCCTAGCCAGGTATGGAGGAAGCCGGGCAGGACAGACAGGGCAGTAACACCCCGAGTTGCAGGGGGCAGCTTTTAATAGTCAGAGTCCTCCGCCATTGCGCACTTCAAGAATGCCTGTGCTGCGGGACGGTGCTTTTATTTTAGGCCCTGCAAACCAACCTCTTCCCCACCCCTGCGTCTGTCCCAGAGAGGGGGATGTGGAGCCTTGAAAAGTGCTTTGTTCCAGAGGATACGTTGCATTAGTTCTAATAGATCTTATAATAATTCTGTGCACCTTCTAAAGATTTATGATTTTAAGTTGCTGCTTTTAATAACCAACTTTTTGTTATATTCGAGTTGTAATTAATATGTCGGATGTACAATTAAAAAGTCTTTTTTAACGTCCTTGGCTCTTTAGCGTGTCTGTTATTGGTCATGTGGCCGTGAACCCTAGAAGCTGGGCGCAAAAGCCACGTGCTGTCCGCCAGAGAGTGACAGCTTGTTATTTCTAAATGTCTAAGGCCAGCAAGTTTAAAACAAACAAAAGGAAGTTTTTCTTCACTCAGCACACAGTCAACCTGTGGAACTCCTCGCCAGAGGATGTAGTGAAGGCTAGAACTTCAACAGGGTTCAAAAAAGAGCGAGAGATTCCTGGAGGTTAGGTCCATCGATGACTATTAGCCAGGATGGGTAGGAATGATTTCCCTTGCCTTTGTTTCTCTGGAGGTGGGTGACAGGGGAGGGATTACGGGAGGATTACCTGTTGAGATCCCTCTGGGGCATCTGGTATTGGCTACTGTGGGCAGACAGTATATTGGGCTAGATGAACCTTTGATCTAACCCAATCTGGCCATTCTTATGACAAGGAATCGCAGGCTCGAGATGCAGACTGGCACTTGTCAGCATGCATCTGCTCGCTCTTCCAGGGACGTAACGTCTGAACTTGGGCAGACGTGCCTCGTTTTACCCTTGAAAAGCCCCACTTCTCTCTGGTGTTCCTCCTGGCCCTACTCCAAGCTGCCAACTCTGCAGGACGGGATGCATACAGGTAAGTACGCTCCGGACTCGGAGGAAGAAATGCCACCCGTTGAATTCCCAGCACAGTTCCCTGGAGCGCTGGGGGGGGGGAGGGGGGGGAGGAGTGTCCAGGTAGTTCTGTGACCCAGTGCAAAATCTGACAGGACTCCGCCGCACGAGGAGCTGTAGCCAGGATTATGCCACATGCTGCTTTCATCGGCCGTGCGTATATCTTCTAGCTGTAACACGCAGACTGGCGTGGAACGACATGATTCTCAGCTTGTGGGAACTCTGAGGCTCAACAGCGACATCCCAGAGCCCATGAGAAGGCCCAGGAGTCCTGCCTCTGTGCAGTGGGGGACCAGCAATCTGTCCGCGCACTAGAGAAGTGGACTAGAGGCGCCTTTTTTCAGTCCCGGGTGGTCCTACGGCGCCGTAGCGTGCGTGCAGGGTGCCTACTGTGTGGGGGAGGAGGCCCGTGATTTCCACTAGCCCTCGTGTGCTTTGTACGGCAACAAGATTCCTCTAGTCCCCGAGGCTGAGCCATGTGAAGGATCCTTCCAATGGGGCCATTGAGCAAAGGGAGGCTCATTGAGCACGGCGCGACGTTGGAGGTATTTTAACCACTGTGAGCTGGCCCTTCCCTTTGAGTTTAAGGAGTAGGCGGACAGTAGAGGGTAAGTCGGAGTCGGGTCATGCCCACTTTGGACTCGGGGAGCTGTGGAGGCAGAATGACTTCAGTTTATCTGATGCTTTCATGGAACGTGTCCCTAGGGCATGGGCCAGAGAGCGACTCTTCCATAGAACACAAGAACTGGAAGGGACCTTGAGAGGTCAAATCCAGTCCCCTGCCCTCACGGCAGGACCAACCACCGTCTAGATCAGGGGTGCGGAACTTCAGGCCCGGGAGGCCGGATACAGCTCCTGGCTTCCCTGCATCTGGCCCCTGAAGCTTGGGGCTGCCCCCAGCATTGGAGATCCCGTGCTGGTGAGGGGTGTTTGTTTTTTCTCATTTGTGTGCGGCCCCCTCCTGATTTTTCTGAGTCAGTGGCTCTGACCCAAAAATAGGTTCCCCGCCCCTGATCTAGATCATCCCTGACAGGTGTCTGTCTAACCTGCTCTTTTATCTCCAGTGCTCTTTAAATCTAGCAAGGCCAGCCTGTTTGGCCTCCCCTAGGGTGCGTCTAGACTCCGTTCCTCTTTCGCAAGAGGAATACAAATGAGGGACATCGAAAATGCAAAGGAAGCGCCGACTTACAAATCTCGCGCTTCGTTTACATAATCTCTTCCGCTGGTTTTTTCGGAAGAGATTTTTTTCGGGGAAAAAAAAAGGCAATCTAAATGAGGGTTTTTCCGAAAGAACCCTTATTCCTAAAAAAATGAGGTTTACAGGGTTCTTTGGAAAAGGGAGGGGTTTTTCAAAAGAACCCCGTCTAGACTGCTTTTTTTTTTCCGAAAAGAATCTCTTCTGAAAAAGTGATTGGAAAAGATTATGCAAATGAAGTGTGCGATTTGTAAATCAGCACGTCATTTGCATTTTCGATTTCCCTCATTTGCATTCCTCTCTCGAAAGAGGAATGTAGTCTAGATGCACCCTGCGGGGGAATCTGATTTCCAACCCAGCTTCTGTTCCAATCTGCGACCCCACCCGGCTCCCAGGACAGGCCTTTCTCCCCGGCCTGTTGGTCCCTCGCTCCCTCAATTTTATCATCCCAGGATCTGCCCCAGCACATGCTGATGGTTTTGTGTCCCAGCTGTAGCCTCCGCGGGCGGCGGCTGATGTCCTGAGCCTGAAGGCAGAGTACTGCACCTACTGCCCTGAGGCAAAGCCCATGGCTGCTGCCGGCGAGGCTCTCATTGACGTAATCCACTTTAGCTCAGGCCTGGCGGGGATTCATAAACCGCTGGCAGAACTTGACCTGAGTAGGAGCAAGAGCAGGCCCCGGCTGTAGTCCTCACCCACTGCCAGTGGCCAAAAGCCTTACTCCTGTCAACGGGAGCCATCCTGCTTGGCGACTTCCCTGCAAACATGGGCTCAGACCCCCCTGGGCAGACAGTGCTACACAATCCACCTCCCTCTCCACCCGACCCGTCCCTGAACACCGATGCCAGAGCCGGACTGCCAGTCTCGGTCAGGGCCGGCGGGATTATGGGCGGGGCCTGCTCCGAATGGGGCGCTACGGCCTAGGGCACTGGTGCCTGCACACTGGGCCCAGGGCTGCGGCGGCTGCTCCCCCAGCAGGGGGGCCAGGCCTCCCGGGGGTCCCTCAGCACCCGCCCTCGCTGCAGTCCCCTCCTCTTCTCCTGGGGGCCCCGGCAGGTGTGTGAGGGGGTGCCTTGCATAGCCGACAGCTTCGGGACCCACCGGCCGGGCCAATAACAAAGCACCGGGCCGTGTGCGGGGAAACAGACTGCTCACACCGGCCCTGGCCTGGGCCCAACTGGCCTTTTCGTGACCATAAAAATCTCAGCGCAAACCAGGCGCCATGAGGAAGACCCGTTTCTGCTGAGGGAGGCCTTGGACACGTCGATTACTAACCAGCGTTCCACCCGCTACAGCCTCGTCAAGTCACTCTCTGGGCCTCTGTTTGGGGTTACGTGGTGCCAAGGGAGCACGCTGGCTTCAGCAGGCGGGAGGCGTTTGCTGGGAGCCGGGCTGGGAGCATCTCCCTGGCCTGGCAATACTGTGCAGCGTGACCCAGGCCCGCACTGAACCCGGCTGCGTCCCGGTTGCTGGGTGCTCTGGGGACAGAGAGTTTCCCCACCTTTGGTTCCCCCACTCTTCAGTGCCCCTTCTTCCGGAGGCAGACAGACCAGTGGTCACCCCTGCTCCCCATCCCAGAAGAGGGGTGGGGTGTGTGTGTGTGTGTGTGTGTGTGTGTGTGTGTGTGTGTGTGTGTGTCTCTCTCCCATGGAACACTGGTCCTTCTCCACCAGCCGTGTTGCCTGGGCCTGATCATGCATTCCACCCTGTGGCCCTATAAATAGCCCCGGGGCCACCATAGGCCCTCACCCCCATCACGCACCCCTTTGCGTGCCCTGCTGGTCACCACACAACTTGTCCCTTTCTCCCCTTCAAGCGTCACTTAGGGTGTGGTGCTCGCTGCTCCGCAGAATGTAGCTTCACACGCACAAGGGGTATGTCTACACTCGCGGCTTCTTGCACAAGAACGGCTGATCTTGCGCAAGAATCCGCAGAGCGTCCACACTGCCCGCCCGCTCTTGCGCAAGGAAATTTACAGGACAGTATGGTAAGAGAGGGCTTCTTGCGCAAGAGCTGCGCTCTTTTTTTAATAGGTGTAAGCCCTCTTGCGCAGGAGCTCTTGCACAAGAGGGCAGTGTGGACGCTCGGCAGGGGTTTCTCGCGCAAGAAAGCCCTATGGCTAAAAAGGGCCACAGAGCTTTCTTGCGCAAGAGGGCGTCCACACGGCCATGGGAGCTCTTGCGCAAAAGCACAGCTTGCGCATGGCAGTGTGGACGTGTTCTTGTGCAAGAAGTTCTTGCGCAAGCAGCCGCGAGTGTAGACATAGCCAAGGAGTGTTCCTTAAACTGTATTTCAAGGAGGAGTCAAATTCCAGCTTCCAGGCGCGTGTGCTACCTACAGTCCCTTGGGGGTTTATCGGCCTTCGGCGCGTCTGCATCGCTCCTGCCGGTGCGGTGAGAAGACTAGCGCGCCAAAGCAGACCCCAGGCAGGAAGGAAACGCCGGGCGTGTCTAGAGAAGGACAGAACGGCGCATTCCAGCTAGTCCTCAGGGACACCGTCTTCAATCCATCTTAAATAGAGCGGGTTTCCTTGGTCGATAGGCAGGCTGATAAATTCGGGAATCTCAAAAGGGTGCATGGATCTAAAACGGAAAAGACACACAGCGCCCCCCGCCCCTCATGAGAGCGGGTCATTTCTGCAGCCAGAACAAGCTCCATTGATGTACAGCTGGAAGAAAAGGGGAGTCTTCAGTCCCCAGGAGGACGGGTTGGGAAGGGGCTGCCCGAGATTTGCCTCTGACTTGAGAGCGGTTTTGTGGCCCTTCTCCTCAGCTCATGTGGATGCAAAAGCTGTGAGCTTTTCACGTTGCGTTTTGGGTTTGGTAACCCAGCATCGCAGGGTGGCTGGCCCCTTTAAGGGCAGGGGGTTCAGCTCCCTTCTGCCAGTACAGCTGGTGCCGGTTTGCTCCATGAAGTGGATGGGGCAACCCCAGTGGGACCCTGTGGGGCATCAGGGAGCTGGTGGCAGGGAAGCAGGAGAGCTGAAAGCAGAGGGGGGCGAAGGTCTGGGGGCAGAGGAAGGGCATATGGCAGGCCTTTCTGAGATGAGAGGTTAATGGAAACAGGGAGGGGTGGCTGCTCCCTGGATGAAGAACTCCCAGCAGAGAAGCTGTGGAGGGTGGGGCAACCCCAGTGGGACCCTGTGGGGCATCAGGGAGCTGGTGGCAGGGAAGCAGGAGAGCTGAAAGCAGAGGGGGGCGAAGGTCTGGGGGCAGAGGAAGGGCATATGGCAGGCCTTTCTGAGATGAGAGGTTAATGGAAACAGGGAGGGGTGGCTGCTCCCTGGATGAAGAACTCCCAGCAGAGAAGCTGTGGAGGGTGGAGTGCGGCCTTTGTTCCGAGAATTGGCTTATGAACATGCCTAACTTGAAGGTGCTTTAGACAAAATACCTCCTGGCTTCGTCTACGCTGCCGGCTTTTGCTGGCAGAGAGTATGCAAATAAAGCGCTGATTGGCATTTTGTCGTGTTTCATTTGCATAATCTAGTTGAGTCGTTTTTGCCGAAGGGGTTTTTGCCCCAAACCAAGCAGTGTGGACGTTTCCTTTTGGTGCAAAAACCCCAGGAGAGGCATAAGGATCTTGTGCACAAAGGAAACATCCACACTGCTTGGTTTTGCCCAAAAACGGCTCGGAAAGATTATGCAAATGACGCACGACAAAATGCTAATCAGTGCTTCATTTGCATACTCTCTGCCGGCAAAAGCCAGCAGTGTAGACATAGCCCCTGTAGCCTCAATTTTAATGTTCCAGTCTGCTGCGTGTGTATATCTATTTGGTGCATGTATCATTCTTGCCTGTGAAGTTAGACATGTGAATCTGCTTTAGTTTTCAGTGTGTTAATGAGGGACATTAGTGAGACTTCAGGTATTTAATGATTCAGGAAGCAAATCAACAACTTGTGAATGGTCCTCTAAGCCCAAACGGTGCTTGGTGCTAGAGAGACATACGACCATGCCATCTGGCACTGGAATCCATCTTGGACCTGGTAATTTTCCATGGGGACGGGCAATGCAAAAGAAAGGATTCTTGCTGTGGGGGAAAGTCCATTTAGGCAATAGGAGGTAATCAGCCCTTTGTCTTTAGCTGGTTTTGGGAACTGCCTGGCCCACCCCCAGAGGATGCAAAAGAGGCTGAAGAAGGCTGTAAACCCAAATCCGAGTAAAACCACTCCTCAGATTTGAATTTAGGAACGTACTTGGATCTGACTTTTCCCTGGCAAACCCAAATCAGAGTAAAAACACGTACTTGGATCTGACTTTTCCCTGGCAACCCCCTAAATCCTGCTTTTAATACTTAGAAAAACTCTTTTGGTTGTTATCAAGCCCAATGTAGGCTCGTTCCTGGGGGCGAGCAACCGCTCTGTAAACTTTTACATGGGGGAAGAGGGATTTCTTTGGGGGCTTCAGCCCCATTTGAGGCTTGGTTTCCGGGGTGCTGAGCCCTAAGAGTTGAGCCTTCCCAGAGCTGACGTGGTTCCATGTCTGCATTGCTCTGCAGGGGGGCAGTAACCCCAACTCTGTGCCGTGTCTGGGGGAGAGCAGAGGCTCTGGCCGAGCAGGACAGGGTGGTGGGGAGCTCCAGAGAGCAGGAAAGCAGGCGTCAGGGGCATGATCAGAGCACTGGGGAACAATCCCAAGGGGACGTCTGTGGTCGCACCCCATCACACTCTGCTTTGTAACAAACCAGCTCTGGGCGCAGGGGGAAGGGAGAGTCTGTTGAGGAGCCCTTAGGGCCCCAAGATGAGAAACGGGATCGTAGCCTGGTGTCTGGGCACTGAGCCCCATGGCGCTGCTCAGGGACGCGAGGGAACCGTTCACACACAGGAACTGCCACAACGGGTCGGACCAGTGGCTCATCTAGCCAGGGATCCTGTCTCCAAGCACGGCCAGTGACGGATGCTTCAGAGGAAGTGGCAAGAAACCCTGAAGCAGGCAGTTATAGGCTCCTTCTTATCTCCCATTGTGTGTCTAGACCAGTGGTCCCCAACATGGCGCCCGCCGGGGCATTTATGTGCACCCACCGAGTGACCAGGGCCAGCCATTCTTGTGCCCCGGGTGCACGGCGCACGCACAGTGCCGACTCTGGGCACACGGCGCATGCGCAGCCCCGCCCCTGGGCGTGCGGTGCGTGCATGGCCCTGCCCCCGCATGCGCAGTGCGTGAGCGGCCCTGCCACCGGGTGCCTGGCAGCCCCAAAAGGTTGGGCACATCAAAAATGCAAATGAAGCTGGGATTTAAATATCCCGTGCTTCATTTGCATAAACATGGCTGCTGCTTTTATTCGAAACGGAGCTTTTTTGGAAAAAAATAGCAGTCTAGATGCAGATCTTTCGAAAATACAACCCTTTTTCAAAAGATCCCTCATAAAATGAGATTTACAGGATCTTTCGAAAAAGGGTTGTATTTTCAAAAGATCCGCATCTAGCCTGCCTTTTTTTTTTTTTAAGAAAGCGCCGTTTCGAAAAAAAATGGCAGCCATGCTTATGCAAATGAAGCACAGGATATTTAAATCCCAGCTTCATTTGCACTTTCGATGTGCCTAATCTACATCTCTCTGTCGACAGAGAGGTGTAGTCTAGACACACCCTGGTTAACTTGTCCTGAAGTGCCAGGTAGGATACTCTCTCTATATTTCTTGACTATGATGACTAGATATTCTTGTTACTCATATCAGTGGATCCATATAATTGACTCTTGATAAATCAATGATATCTTGGGACTGTGAGTTTCCCAGACTTCGTTCCTGTTGTGTGAAGAACACTGCCTTCAAAGGTACGGCTAACACCAAACTACACTATCTCATTTACCTTTGCATGGATTCTGTGAATTCCCCATGTCCACAACACACAAGCTGAAGCTGTGTCCATGTTGGCGAACACCGGAGACTTTTTTTGAGGCATGCGGACTGAATTTCAACTGGAAACCCGCTGGGTTTTACCTAGTTTTTCCTTTTAGTGCGAGCTTTGAATGGATGCAGTGTCTGTGATATGTGGACTCATTTGGCACATGCAGTAGCAGTCTAGGCCTAGTTGTTGGGAGGAAGTAATTGTACCCTCTGACTGGTTGACTAAGAGATGGCAAATGTAGTTTTTTGGGGGGGAATATCACTTGGAACAGGCAGAAGCCTTACCTGATGTAGTCTGATAATTCACTGATTTTTGACGTCCTGGTTTTCACTAGCTGTGAAAGGAAAATGAAACAATGTAAAGCGAAATGTACTCTGGGACAGCTGAATTGTTCTCAAACATATGATTATTCCACATTAGTATTGATGCTATCTACTTTAGTTCTCTTGAGGGAATTATAGTCACTTAGAAAATCTTACGGCAATATTATGGCACGGGCAAATTATTCCAACAAGTCTGAGAGAGATTCCCATGGGCGATGTCTGAAAAATGCTAGGGCCTTCTGCAGAAGGGGTCTGACGCATCAGTTAATCTCTTTGTGCTTCAGTCCCCCATCTGAGAGGCAGCACTGGCTAGTGGATAGAGAAGTGGCTGGAGACACAGGAGACTCCCAGCTTTTTCCATTGTTCTGCTGGATGACCTTGGACAAGTCACGTCATTGCTCAGTGCCTCAGTTTCCCATCTGTAAAATGGGGGTTCAATTATTCTTTCCTTTGTAGTGTGCTTTGAGATTGACTCGCATTATAAAAGAGCTGGGGGGGTGGGTGTAAAATGGGAAGAGAGGGAGTAATACTTCCTCTGCCTTGTCTGTTTAGACCGAGGGTGGACAAGAGGCGGCTAGAGGGCTGGATCCGGCCCACCAAGCCACTGGATCTGACCCGCAGCTGCTAATTGCTATGCAGACTGGGCAGGGAGGAGAAAACCACCTAGCAAAATCCCTCAGCTCCCATTGGCCCGTTTCCGGCCAATAGGAGCTGAGAAATGTTGCTGAAGGTAGGGCTAGCAAATGAAGCTTCCTCCCTCCCTTCTCTCCCCCCACTTTTTCCCCACCTCCCTGTGCTGGAGCAGAGCCACACAGAGCAGCCTGCCTAGCGCATAGACAGGGATCCAGTCTCAGGTTTGGAAAGCTGCTGGCTGGGAGCTTCCCAGGTAAGCATCTCCCAACCAGAGCCTGCCTCTGGTACCCCACCCCTCTTTCCTCCCAACTGCCTGCTCCAGGCCACCACCCAAACCTCTCCCCACCTCCTCCAGGTCACTACCCCCTTTCAGATCCTGCACCCCCCTCTTACACTCCTCCCCCAGGCCAGAATCATCTCCTGGACCCTGCACCCCAAGGCTCTGCCACAGATCACGATCCCCTCCTTCACCCAAACTCCCTCTCAGACCCCACACTCCCTTCTGCACCCCAGTCTCCATCCCAAGCTCCCTTCTACACCCCACGGCTATGTCTACACTCGTGGCTTCTTGCGTAAGAAATATGCAAATGAGGCTAAGCGTGGAATATCGCTGAGCCTCATTTGCATACCTAATGAGCCGCCATGGTTGCAGAAGAGGCTCTTGCACCAGAAGGAGCTGTCTACACTGCCCCTTCTCGCGCAACACGGCCTTGTGCAAGAGGGTTTTTCTTGCGCGAGAAGGGGCAGTGTAGACAGCTCCTTCTGGTGCAAGAGCCTCTTCCGCAAAAATGGTGGCTCATTAGGTATGCCAATGAGGCTCAGCGATATTCCACACTTAGCCTCATTTGCATATTTCTCGCGCAAGAAGTTGCGAGTGTAGACATGGCAAGTGGGCTATCGCAGACCCCGCGCCCCCTCCACCGACGTGCAGCCCTGCCACTTACAAAATCTTGGAGCAGCCCTCTATTAAAAATGATTACCCACCCCGGTTTAGACGCTAAACTCTTTAGAATGAGGGACCCGCTCAGTCGATGGGTCTGGAAAGTGCCCAGCACAAGGGGGCTGGTACTTCTAGCCGCTGACCTGCAGAAAAACGTTGGGTGGCCAGCACTGCTGCGTAACGTACACGGTTCCCCCGCTCCTCCCCTGGTGCTGGGTTCTGACCCGATTGGCACCTTTCCCCAAGCAACAGGAGCTCTCTGCTGGGGACATCACCGAAGGCCCCAAGGAACGGCCGGGAGAACCTCTACGTCCATGTCACACAGTCCTCAGCCAGTACCGCCTCTCGGCCACGGCTGCCGTACGCGGGTTACCTAGTTCCGTGTCGCGGTCCTGTTCAGTGAAGCCGACCCTGCAAACCCTCCGAATATTTGAATTAAACGTAGGGGAGGGTCAGAAACGGGGCCCCTCTTTGAACCGCGTCTCTGCGAGATCCTCCGGAGCAGACACTTACTAGAAGTATTTCAGTGGCTTCTTCTATTTCCCCTTTCCACAGATACCTAGATGGAAAAGAAGCCGACACACGCGCCCTCAGTGACTGCCGCCTCATGTCGACTGGCTCCGCAGTCAAATCCATTCAGGCTTTGAGATCTGCAGGGTTGAAATCCTGGCCCCTGCCGGCCCCTTCCTCCCTGAATTCCCAGCACCCCTCAGGCTAAAGCCCTGTTACATGCTGCCCCCTTGAATCACTAAGCACACACCCGGATCCCTGCTCCCTCTTACGCCCCAAGCCATGAGTTCTGGGGCTCCAACTGGGAACGGCAGGGCTGAGTCCTGCCTGCCCCCTGCCCCCTGGGGGCGAGAAGCCACCAGACCCCAAGGGGGCAGAGGCACGGGGGTCTCTAGCCAGGGCAGTGCAGTCCCCAGGTCTTTCTCTTCCTGCCCCCCGCCAGGTCAGGGGCAGGAGCTCGGGCTCAGGGGCAGCTGCTCCCTGGCTGGTGCCATGGCATAGGCAGCAGTGGGGCTCACTCCTCTGGTGTTTCAGGTGCAGGGTGTAGTGCTGCCCCTCAGCTCCCAGCCCCCCTCTGCTCACACAGCCGGTAAGAGCCGTAGGGTGGGGGACCCGGCTCCACGGCTGGAAGAGCCTCCAGGAACAGGCTCCTTTTCTTCCGAATGAAGACACCCCTTCGTGTAAATTTAGGTCCCACATTATAGCATGGTAACAAAGGTCAAACTCCTCTTTGCTACGATTTCCATTTCTTAGCCTCTTTTCTATTCTTAAATCAGTAAACAAATGGCCCCCGGCCCGCATGTCTATCATCTACCCCCTACTCTGCACTGGTCCCTCGAAGCTGTTCCAGCCACGTGCAGAATAATTTTATGTGCACTGACGCATGTGCAGATGTGCACCACTGGTAGAAACACAAGAGCTAGGTGTGGGCGCTCTGCTGATCAGCTGGGTGACCGCCCAAATGCGCAGCTCGCCGGGAATCCTGCTACCCTGAATATGTTTAATGCACTTGGGCGGGGCAGAGGTTTACGCTTCCAGGCTCGCAATCAGAAAGCAGCACGGCCCTTCTGCAAATAAGGGGGAGTCTCGCCTGCATGGTATCGTTGGTCTAACCCCGAGAGGTGCTGAGCCAGGTGCGGGGGCTCAGACTCTGCTTGGGTTTGCTATTCCTGGCTAAGGTCTCCCTTTGCAGACAAGCCTTTGCTTCCCCTTTCAAGCGATGTTCAGGGCAACTCACATGGAGGAAGCCTGGGGCAGGATGTTCACGCAGGCAGCCAGTTTTTTATCCATAATGGCCCTAAACAGAACAGACAAAGGGCGTTTGTAAATACACGGTGCTGCCACCACCCCCAACACCCTCCTCCACCTCCTGCTGTGAAGTTAACCTTGAGCTGTTTCCTCGGCGACAAGCCTGGGCAGCTGAGGCCTGAGTTAGGATTGTTTTAATCTGCTTCCAGCTGCAACTAGGTCCACGCGGCTTCTACTGGCTAAGCCAGAGGGAGGGATCCCTCCAGGTTGCTGCTGATAGACCCTGAAGATTACCCAGGACTTGTATGGCAGACTCAGACATTAGCTAAGGAAGCCTTGCACCATCCCCATGATGTAAGGCTGATCCTGAGGGGAAACTGAGGCATGGGGTTCCGACTCAGAGCTGGGATTCTGGCTAAGGAGTCCCTCGCTCCCAGGCATAAACTCACCCGGCCTCTCGCTTGCACAGGAGACTAAAAATCACTGAATGCATTAAAGGCTTCACGATGTCGGCCTTTTCATTCCAAACCGGCACTAGAAATCAGTGAAACCCAACCCCCTTCCTTTCTGAAATGTTCCTCCTTCAGTTGTGGATTAGTTCATTGTTGCAGAGCTGCATGAGTGTTACATCTAGGCTGCCAACATAAGACTTTTGGGTAATTAAAGAGCACAGGACTTGTGGGGGTGGACAGGAAGAGGACTAGGAGTACTAGGTCAAATCTTGTGCCTTCCTCCAATCTCGCCAGTGTCTCTGTGCTTGTGGAAGGCCCATCGATCTTGCTTCTCTTGCACCCCCTGCCCTCAAACTGTGTTAAATGTTCTTCGAAGGCATGGCCCTGTGAGGCTTGGATTTTGTTTTTCTTTAACTTTGGTCCATGTCTTGTACTTAGCACTATGGCAATGAAAACATTAAAGTCCCAGCAATTACACATGGGTCAAAAAATATGACCTCAAAATTCCAGACAAGGAGTCAGGAGTCACTAGCGAATGAAAACTAAAACCACCCAGCCGCAGGGATTAACCCTCAGTGGGTTTGATGGTTAAACCAACTCTGGTGGGTGTACTCTACTAGCTACCTCAAACAAAACAAAATGAACCTCCTTCCACTTTAAGTAGGTTAAAAATATCCCCCATTCATCCATAGTATAATGCAGTTTAGGCATGATTATAAAACAAAGCATATCACCTAGTGAATCCTTAAAAGAGGATTACGTGTCATAAACTGTGAAAATATCAGCTGTAGATTGAGGCCCGTATACAGGCCATCCTTGCTATGAATCCAAGATCTGTTCTAAAACTTGGACTTATAGTGACATAACTTAAAGCGGGGAATTTTTTTCCCGCGGCTGACTTCTATTTGTTCAAATTGGGGTTGTTGGTTTTTTTGGTGCAACTTAAGAGTAGGAAATGGGAGGGTTTATACACATGAGTTCCTACAAGCGTCAATGACTTTAGTGCAGAACGGATGTATACCGGGGTGACTTATAGCAGGGATGCCCTGTAACATCATAGGGTGACCTCCCCCAAAGGCAACCTAAACTAGTATAGAGGTAATACATGTCAGCTGGCTGAAGACGGCCAGGCCTGAGGACTAGCATGAAGTTGTGTAACAGGTTGAAATCTGGTACTTAACCCATAAAGCCAAGCTATTCATATAGCCTAGGTTCTCATCTGGATCTACATCAGCTTCTTTTCACATTTTTATTATGCCTGCTTTGTCTACACAGTTCACAGCCAGGGTAGACATAGCTTCAGCGTAGGTAAAAATGTATCCTCCTCAGCTCAAATGTACTGATGAGGAAACTGGTGCTGCAAGATGATGTGATGTACCCTAAATCACAGAGCTGGGATTAGAACAGGGGAGTTCCAGGGTACGAGTCCTGTATTCAAGTAACTCCTCTGTAATCAGCATCTATTTCCTAGTAGGTAATATTGCTTTTGTGGAGTCCTCTGCAATACTGCTGATGGCTCACTTTGGCTCTAATCTAACAAAAACCCTGGATTCCAAAAAAATTTCTAAAACAAAAGAGAGAGAATTTTTGTGCGAGATTTTATATTTCACTCAGGGGCGGGAACCATCTGGCCAGCAGAGGGCGCACAAATGAATAAATATTATCCCTGACCCAAGTAGGGATGTAAACAAAACAAACGTATATTGGCTTATGTGACACAATAAAGTGGAGCAGGAAAGCGAAGATCCATTTTTGCCATCTGACAAAGGAAAACCAGTAGGACAAGATCTGTGCAATGTTATGACGAATGGCAGAGAAAGCATAAAGAATAAGAAACGCCTGACACTGTCCTTTTAAGAAAACTATTTATGTCCCTCCTGCAGAGATTTGATCCAGAATTCTTGCTCCATAATAGCAGGTCAAAAGCTTGTCTCTGGGGAACATAGACTAAGAACAGGAACACAATAGAGCTTCTTGTGGAATGGTATCCATTAGGGAGCCGTTTAAACTGAGGCTCATGCACATCAAATGTTTACTGTTCGGTACTTAAGCATCCATAAGTAGCCACAAAAAGCTTTTCTAGGAGATACTCTGTCTCCTGATAGCATGACACAATGTTTCGTGCTTGATTTTCACAGTTGCTGATGAATGTTTAAGTGTTTAAGAATCTATGATTCTATGATTCTAATGTTTAAGTGTTGGTGACAGGCACAAACCAAGAACACTTGCAGCTGGAAACATTTCAGAAGACAAAGGGCATTTAAAAATGCATTTTACAGAGAAAAAAGCTTTGTTTTTTTCAACCCTATCCAAAGGCTTAGAAATAGCTTATTCTAGTTGCAAATGTGTTGCTTAGGCAAGTGTAGTTTCTTGAAAATGTAACTATTGCTTAACAGAAACAAAATGTTACATTTTATAGGTCCTACACATAAGTTAAAATGTGCATGTGTGCTACAGTTAGGAAAAGTCGGACACAGAACTAGCTTTTTGAATATGTATTTCTTTGCACTGGCTGCTAAACCAGGCTAATGTTTGGTTTGCAAACAAAGATTTTGTTTCGGAATTATGGCTCTGGTTCAGGCTGCCTTCTGTCTAGCTGGCATAATTTGTAGCTGTAAAAGTGCTACAGGTTGAACTTCTCTAGTCCGGCACCCTCGGGACCTGATCAGTGACACAACAGAGAATTTGCCGAACCATGGGAGGTCAGTATTGTCTAGCAGCATTAGCAACACTTTCACTGCTTCCTGGGCTCTTAGAAGACATTCAGGGTGCATTTACACTGCACCGTAGCTCAAAATAAGATACGCAATTTGAGTTACAAAACTTAAGTTTCAATCTTAATTCAAAATAGCTCATTTTGTACTTCGGCGCTGTCTGCACAGTGCCAAATTTCAAAATAAACCACTATTCCAAAATGTCCCTTATTCCTTGTGAAATGAGGTTTACAGGGATGTTGGAATAGTGAACCCGTTACATTTTGAAATAATGGGCTTGCTGTGAAGACACGGGATAGCTATTTCAGGATCCTCAGGGTAAACGTAGCCTTTAGGACCAATTAGAGCTAAATAACAGCATAGAGTACAGTGCTATGACTGGTGGCTGTAAACAAACTTTATAAGACTGTGAGATACTTGGCCACACCCATATTAGTGGTTATCAAACTTAATGAAACCATGCTGGACCATGGATGGTGCTGGACTAGAGAGGTTCATCCTGTACATTTACACTGGTCTGTTATTTTTATCTCCTACAGGTATTATATTAAACTCTAAGGGTATGTCTACACAGCAAAGTTATTTTGAAATTACTTTCCTAGCGTCTACCCAGCCATTCCGTTATTTTGAAATTAATTTGAAATAGCAGAAGGCTTATTTCGAAATTGGTAAACCTCATTCCACGAGGAATAGTGCCAATTTCGAAATTGCTATTTTGAAATAAGCGCTGTGTAGACACTTATTTCGAAATAGGGGGCCTCCAGCCCTTCCCAGGGTGCCCTGCTGGCTGCCCTGGCTACAAGGTAACTTCTGACATGATGCCCTGCAGGAACTGGTTTCAACAGCCTTAAATGCGATTCAGTGTCCACTCAGTGTGGACGCGCTATTTCAAAATAGAAAAACTCTATTTCAAAATGCATTTTGTGTGTAGACACACTATTTCAAAATAAGCTATTTCGAAATTAGATATTTTGAAATAACGCTGTAGTGTAGACATACCCTGGCTTATATTTTGGTAGCACTAGCATTACATTAGCACTGTCCTATCTGTCAGACTCCCTGAATGAAAGAGAACAAAGCTTAATGGCAAAAGATGACGGAGATGGCAGTCCCTGGAGCGACAGTTTTCGGAGCCACCTGGTTGGCAGCTTGACTGGAAGAGGAAAAAATACAGCTGTACTGTTCATGATGGCTTTCAGCTGAATATTTTATGTGTATATCTGTGTCCCAGCATTAGTACAAAAACTGTACTCACATGAAATATGAATAAGCTGGAAAGAAAAAGACAAGGCAAAACTGGGTGATGATGGAGTATTCAGGTGTAACCCAGTCTTCATAAAAGTTAATGATCAACCTGAAATCTGTTTTTGTTTAGACTATTTGTGAGGTCACCTTCAGGGCCTGATCATGTGCTCTGGACTCAGAAAACTCCCAAATCAGACACAGGCAAAGAAGCAAAACCTCTGTCCTGAGAGGTCTACTAAATATCAATGTTAATAGCAAAGCAGGTCACTCAGCTTATTCTGTGCTCTACGTGGCATGCCCCAAAACTGTACTTGCTTAAAGCGGAGCAGTCCTTGAAATTGGAAACTCTTTCCTGCCTTTACAAATGCTGAAGGAAATATTTGCAATCGGAGGCTGGGAAGAAGTGCGTCAATGAGCCATCTAGGAGAAGGATAAACACATCCACAGTAGCAGTTAATGGGTTTTGGAAAACAAGCTTTCATCCAGTCACCCATTATCACTTAATCCAAATTCCTCAGCGCTCAACTTTAATTCATTAATACTAAGAAAAATGTGAGCAGACTACGTGTAAGTCTTGGCAATGGGCATGAACTGCAGGGAATGATTATTTCCTCTCCCTTTTCTGGAAGAGAAGGAACATTTGCAGAGTTGCTCACGTGAAGCATTTTTAGAGACAACAGTTTGTCTCGCCAATTACACAGTTATTCTTTTTTGCCATACACATCAAGCGGTAACACACTTGATACAGTTGCAGTAGTAGGGGTGACACAAAATGCCTTTTACTAGCCTATTGTTTCCTGAATGGCCCGTTGGCAACACTCTGCCAGTACAGAAGAAAGGCGTAGTTTTTGGCAAGCAGAGAGCTAGCAGGAAACAAAGCTCAGAGGTGTTGCAGGAAACATAACGGTCCACTATAAACATTTCCAGTATTCTGAGCAGAACAGCCCCTCAGTCATGCAGCTAGGAATTTGTGAAGCATGAATCATGAAAATATCTATGATACATGAAACAAGCTAGCTGTATTAGAAGCCCTTGAAAAATACACTAAAATAAGGAGGGATGTGGAATGACCGATTTTGTTCTCCGCCTTTTGTTTTTGGCCTAGCTTTCTTCTCTTTGTTTTATCTATTTTAAGCTGCCACCCATTCCTGTAGCATCTGGGCACTTTCTACATAAAATCAATAGCAATAGAAAAATCCATAGTGGACTTCATAGGAGTCTCTGATACTTTACCCTTTCTAGGGTAGAATCTCTGCTTGGGCTACTTTTTGTTTTTCTGTTTGGGTTGACTGTTACAGAATAACATTTGTTTTCTGCAGGTGTCAAGTGCTGTAAATGCCATTCTTGCTCTGGCGAGAAGGCTTTTGGATAGATAAAAGTTTAGCAACGTTTCCTAACCGTGGCCTGCTCTGGATTCACCTAATCCCACCAGAAATCGTGGTCCCTAGTAGCCAGCTGCCCTCGACTCAGAATGCTTTACCCTGCACTCTCATGCACTGCTGATGAGCTTTGGGATGTGCATTATCACAAAGGAGTTCAGCTGTCACGGTGGTTGCCTGCTCCATGGATTGCCTTGAGAATTAGACCTTAAACTGACATCTGAGAAGTCGGAGAGACACTGGATTGACTTGAGTAGAGGCTTGATGCACTCACATTAGCCTAGCCCTTGGAGGACGTAGGTAGTTGCATTCTGCACCAGCTCTATAGATTTTTGGGGGGAGTTACAATTTTCCTTTAGAAAGTTGGGTTCCTACTCACCTTTGTGTTTGTGGGAGAAAGTTAATGCAGGAGTGGGAGAGAAAGTGTGTGAAGTGGAGAAAATGGGAGACATCCCCCCACCGAAATAACTACTGTAAAGGAAACAAGCAACCCGTTACTTCATGACAGTGAGCCTTTGAATTATTCAAGTGCTACAACAATGCAAGTGACACTGTACCTCGCAATATCCTTTGCAACTTGTTCATTGGGACAATTGACGAAAGCAATGGAATGGGTGCCCGAGATGTAGCTGCCAGTGAGTGCAGAGTGCAGCTGAAGACTTAGACTCTTCAGCGCTGGGTACATCAGTAAGGAAAGAGTTATTACCTAAAGAATGCAAAATACAACAGTGACAGTGACTGGTCAAGTATGCCCCACAAATGTAGGTTTTATATTTAAACAAACATTTACAGTATGTGGTAGAAATGTAGCCGTGTTAGTCTGGTGCAACTGAAACAAAAAACAGGACTATGTAGCACTTTAAAGACTAACAAGATGGTTTAATAGGTGATGAGCTTTCGTGGGCCAGACCCACTTCCTCAGATCAAATAGTGGAAGAAAATTGTCACAACCATATATACCAAAGGATACAATTTTAAAAAATGAACACATATGACAGTATGTGTGATCTAAGCATAAAGTCTCTATTCTTTGTGTTGCCATTATTAAAATAGAGCTTATTATTTTAGTCTAGAGTATCACTGTTTAAAACAAAGAAATATTTCCACGTGTAATCCAACATTAGAGCAGCGGGTGAAATGCACAAATGGGTCAGTTTCTGGATCTGGAAGAGAACCTAGGAGTCTGGGGGCACCTGCTTCAGCAAACCTCATACTCAAAACTTGCATATACAAAAAAAAAATCACTGTGCCACCATTTCTAATTTCTTTCAAAAACTAGTATAATAAAATACTTCATTAGTAGGATACATTACATTCCACCCTTTAAACAAAACCAAGAACAAGATGAACTGACTCTTCAGTATAAACTAATATTTCAGATCTGATACTGAAAGGAAGTAAAGCTGTAAGAGTGAACCTTTAATATATGAATAAGATAAAAATGTATAGTTTGGTTGGCTGGTCAGTTTGGTTTGTGAGACATTGCACAGGACAGATTGAAGATAATCAGATTTTTATGCAAGGCTGGTATCCAGTTTGTTGCAAAAGGAATTGCTGCCTTGCTGTCTCCTTTACTGACAAGTACAGAAAAACATATTTACAGAAAGAAAACCATCCGTTACTCGCACAATATTTGCATATTATGTTTGTAATAGGCACTGAGTTAAAAGCACCAAAACTGAAATCCAACAGTCTCCACTGTTACCTCAGCTCTGTGTTTAATTTTGTGGGACAAATTCATCCCTGGAATAATGACCTCTGATTACAGAGCTACTCTAGGCATGAATTTGGTTGTGTGCCTGCTAAGATTAAAAGCATATTGCCAGCTAACATTTAACTCAAAACAAAGGCAATTCTGGCATAGGTATTTGCCGAAGTAGGGCAGTACTTCTATTCCTATTATTAGGGGAGAAGTACATGTTCAGCATAGCAATCATGAAGTCTCGTGAAAGTGATGGGTGCTTCTCATGAGGCTGTCCTAGTGAGCTACATTTGTAAATTAAGAATAATACAATGTTACAACCTTCCTGTTTTTTCCCCAACAAGAAGAGAGAAATCTGGTGCATCAATGCAACCACTGTTTCCTCAGGTTTGTCCAAGAAATGAAGGTGAAATTGAACTGAAAAGACTGGATTTCCGGGTTGTTAATCAGGATACATGCCAGAACTGTCAATATGTAAAGTGACTTAGATTCAAAAACCACAACTGTGAGATCCTAAATGTCTCACTGAAAAATATGCAGCTTTTTTGGTACTTTGTTGGTCTCAGGATAGTCAGGGACAAGAGAGCTAAGAAATATCTATTATTGGCTCAACTTCTGTTGGTGAGAGAGACGCTTTTGAGCTACAGAGCTCCACTTCAGGCTTGTATAGTTCGAAAGCTTGTCCCTCTCACCCACAAAGGTTGGTCCAATAAATGATATTACCTCACCCACCTTATCTCTCTAATATAGAATCACAGAACACTAGGACTGGAAGGGACCTTGAGAGGTCATTGAGTCCAGTCCCCTGCCCTCATGGCAGGACCAAGCACCATCTAGATCATCCCTGACAGGTGTCTGTCCAACCTGCTCTTAAATATTTCCAGTGTTGGAGATTCCACACCCCCCCCTAGGCAATTTATTCAAGTGTTTAACCAACCTAACAGGAAGTTTTTCCTAATGTCCAACCTAAGCCTCCCTTGATGCAATTTAAGCCTGTTGCTTTTTGTCCCATCATCAGAGGCCAAGGGGATCAAATTTTCTCCCTCCTCTTTGTAACACCCTTTTAGATATTTGAAAACAGCTATCCTGTCCCCTCTGAGTCTTCTCTTTCCTAAACTAAATCAGCCCAATTATCGAAGATGGTTGAGGCTACACCAACATCCAGGACTTTTGCAATTTTGCAAAACCTCATCACTTCAGTTTTGCAAAACAAAACTTGGGTTTGAAATCCCCATATTCATGTTTTAAAAATAAACAACTCTCCCTTTGAGGCATGGCAAAACAAAACCATCAGGACAATCTTGAGTAGATCAAAGCCATTGCTCAACACTGGCAAAAGAAACCTTTTAAAATTGCCCTCCAGTTGCAAAATCTGAACATATCCACAAAGGACTATTTGCATCTGACGAAGTGGGTCTTTGCCCACAAAAGCTTATGCTCCTACACTTCAGTTAGTCTCTAAGGTGCCACCGAACTCCTCGCCGCTTTTGCAGATTCAGACTAACACGGCGACCCCTCTGATACTATTTTCCATGTGTGTGTGTCTTCTCTCCTGCCAGTTTTTGGTAACCCTCTCCCCCAAATCCCTACATCATCACCCACTGGGTTACAAGTCTGGGCATCGGGGAATGTATCTACCTACAGAGTGGCATTTGCATGGGTCTTTGTTCTAAAGGCTGAAAGCAGACGTTGTCCTGGGATCTGGGTTGTCCCAAGTCAGAGAATTTGTATTCTCCTGCCTGCATCTTTGCAGCATTCCGGGAGAAGTTTTCCAGGAACGGCGCGGGGCAGCCTGCAATTAAGTGTCCCGGAAAAATGAACCGGTTGTGAGGTTACCCAGCAGAACAGGAGCGAATCCACAGGACTCGTTTAGACGCCGCAGCACGGGGAGCGGAGCCAGGTGAGGTGCCTTTTGCTCCCATCGGTGACTCACGTTCCTCTCCGCCCCCCTCCCCGCAGCTCCGCCGGGCTCTCCTGCGGGGCAGCGGCTTGCCCCAGGGAAACGCGCATTCAAGGGGAAATCGCCTTTCCCCGGACACTGACCCGGGCAGACGCTGCCACCTGGCCGGGCCCTGCAGCCCTCCTGGGGTTCACAGCGAGGAAGGGCCCGATCTTACCAGCAGCAAAGTGAAGCCCCCCGGACGGGAGCAGCTCTGGGCAGCCGGCAGCTGGCAGCGCTGGGCGAGCCAGTCCATCCCTCCTGCAGCCCCCTGCTAGTGCCCGGCCGAGGCTGGGGCTGCCGGCGGGTCCCTCCTCCACCTGCCCAGCCCCGGGGTGTTTTGCAGAGCCCAGGAAACGCCCCCTGCGGCTGCCAGGCGGGGCTGGCGCCATGCGCCGGGTTCCCAGCCGCGGGGCTTTGCGCCCTTGCTGGAAAGGGTGCGCCGGGCCGGGACCCCCTTTGCCGAAGGCAGGGCCAGGCTAAGAGCCCCCCTCGCTGCTCACCCAAGCCCCGCCGGCTGCCCCCCAGCTTAGCCCTGCCGGGAGGGGCTGGCATCGCCGCTCCCCCCACTTTCCCCCGCACCCCACTTTGGGCACGTGCCCTGTTGGATCGAGTGGGCAAGACCTGGGCTCCCTGCTCAGTGCAGGCTGGGGGTGGGGTGGGGGGGCTCTGAACGGTGCTGAGTGTGCCCTGCCATTGGTAGAGATGAATCTGATGGAGGAGGGGAGGCTTTGGGTTTGTAGCTGTAGGGACAGGTCACTCCTCTTTGGTCTGTGAAGAAGACGCCCCAGGACTTTGGTAGAGAGCTGGCCAGGGTCCATGCTGGGCAAACCCGTTCTGCCCCTTTAAGTATCCCCTTCTGTGGTTCATGTGAGTCATGCCCTTGGCACTACTCCTGGGAGTAAAGCAAACAGGGCTGGGACAAACAATTAATCCTCAAACCACCATTGTAATGAAGAAGTGGGTTTTCCCACGAAAGCGCATGATGCTATACATAGATATATGTGAGGTTATGTCTACACAGCAGCATTATTCCAAAATAACAAAGAGCGTGTCTACACAGCAAGCCATTATTTCAAAATAAGGGTGAGCTGGAGGACTTCTTATGCCGACTCCTGTAACCCTCATTTTACGAGTAGTAAGGGAAGCCGAAGGAAGAGCACTCAAAACTAAGCTTTTAAAAAGTCTCCCTAGCTATTAATTACAGCGTCACCTGTTAATAACTCTGTGGTTTTAAAAGTTATTTCAGGTTTAACAATCCAATATACATTGTGGCTACGTCTACATTGGCCCCTTTTCCGGAAGGGGCATGCTAATTTTTCAGATCGTAATAGGGAAATCCGCGGGGGATTTAAATATCCCCTGCGGCATTTAAATAAAAATGTCAGCCGCTTTTTTCCGGCTTTTAGAAAAGCCGGAAAAGAGCGTCTACACTGGCCCCGATCCGGCCCGATCCTCCGGAAAAAAGCCCTTTTCTGGAGGATCTCTTATTCCTACTTCGAAGGGCTTTTTTCCGGAGGATTGAGCCCTGTGTGTCTGCAACATTTCAGTCAGTTTGGACTAGCCTGAATTGTTCTATGTTTATCTCTCACTAGCTTCACTTTCTCATTTCCATGCATAAATATCAGAAAATGTTTTGGATTTTGGTGCATATCTCCTGGCTGGGGCAGGTCCAGGTTCATCTGTCCCCTGCACTTCCCAGGCAAAGTGAGGATGAATGCAGCAAACTGTGCACTTTCCCCTTGCTCCCCGATGAAGGGGACCAGCCAACCATGTCCCATATGAACTGGGGGGAGGGGTAAGCGTCACACTCACCTCAAAGGGCACCTGGGAGGTGGAAAGCTGGGGGTTGGGACATTCCCCGACAGGAGTAGGGAGGAGTGCACCCCCAACCAGTCCCTGTCACCTGCCTGGTGATTCGGTCTCTTCTCTGTATAGTTTTATGAGAAACAATCTCAGTCCTGGCACATCCCTTTTTCCTGACACAATTAAAACCTTACCTTGCTTTAAGTTATGATAAGAAGACACGTATAACAAATGTGATGATCCTAGCTCTTACTGTTTAGAAGTTCTTGAAAAAAAACAAACACATCAACAGATGGACAGACACACAAATTCTCTCAAATATATAGTAGATTATCTCAGCAGTGGATAAATATTATTGTCATTTTACATTTATCAGCCCTTATTTGTTTCATAATATTATACAAAGTGTAAATAAACTAGCAATTTAAGCAAAAGGCAGTTAGTTTGAAGCTATGTCTTAACTGAGATGATCATGTAGTTGAGACTTCTGCTTTCCGAGGTCAGCTGAGGAAATGCTGTTGGAGTCTCACAATTTATTTGGTTCCAGAATAACAACATTTCCAGTTCCTTCAGACAGATTGGATGAATGCTGCCCTTTCTTGTGATTCTAAGTGCAGAGTAAACACAAGGCGGAGTGTACAAAATGGTTCATTACTTAATGGTACAGAAGTCTGATTTGTGACAGTTATTTATTTAGAGCACGACAGGCTAGTTCTGCAAGAAAAATAAAATTTGCGGTTTAGCCTACAGAGCAGAAGAGAAAATTGCTTGAGGGCAACGTGGTGTTTATTGCAGACTACCTAAGGGAAGGGCGGGCAACCTGAAGCCCAAACATGTGGCCCATTGTGGTTATATGTGTGACACAATGGACATTTTGTTTACTATTGTACACAAAGTTGCCAGAGTCTGCTGGGTTTCATCCATGCGGTGTTTTTCCTACTGGTATTACTCATGAGACATGCACTTAAAGTAAGAGCATGTGAAGTGATGTGTGTGCAGATTATATACAACATTGACTGTGAGAGCTGTGCACTCTGTTTGCACTGCTGCAGGTCAATTGATACACCCCACAAATTCTAGGTATGCAAACGCAGTTAGCAAAACTATCCTGGAAGAACATCTTGGGTACAACCATCTTATGGCCCACTGAGATGAAATAGGGCCACTCATACGGCCCACTCACTAGCTTAAATTGCCCATTGCCGATCAAAGGGCTTGTCAACATAGAAATGCTCAGGAAAGTTAAGGTGAATTAATAAATACGTGAAGTCAATATACATTAGTTAAAGAGCACTGGAAAAATTACAGGAAAAGACAACAAAATGATTATGAGCATGGAACAGATTGCATATGAGGAGAGATTAATAAAGCTGGGACTTCTCAGATTGGCAAAGAGATGAGGAAGGGGAGAGAAACCATAGAGCTGATTGATGTGGAGAAAATGAATAATGAGGGTGTTATTTATTCCTTTTTGTTGCACAAAAAGTTAGGGTCACTCAGAGAAATGAATAGGTAGCAGACACACTACTTTTTTCACACCGGGCACAGTCAACCTGTGGAACTCCTTGCCAGAGGATGTTTTGAAGGCCAAGACACTCATAGGGCTAAAAAACCCACCCGCATCCAAATAAGTTAATGGAGGACAGATCCATCAGTGGCTATTAGCCAGGATGGGCAGAGCTGGTGCCCCCTGGCTCTGTCTGCTGGGGCAGGGGCTGTGAGGGGCTGCCTGCAGCCA